AAGAGCCCGTGGGAGGTGGGCAAGGCTGCCAGGGAGGGAGGGGAATGCAAGGTTGTCTGCAGAGATGCTCTCATGTGAGACCCTCCTGGCCTTGGGAGGATGGGACTGGCATAAGGAAAGCCAAGCTTTCTTTTAAAACAGGCACACAATGGGCAAAATACCTTCCTTCCTTCCTTCCTTCCTTTCTTTTCTTTCATTCTTTCTTCCTTTCTTTTCTTTCTACCTTCCTTCCTTCTCTTTCCCTCCCTCTCTTCCTCCATCCCCCTTCCTTCCTTCCTCCCTTCTTTCCCTCCTTCTCTTCGTCCCCCTTCTTTACTTACTTACTTCCTTCCATCCCTCTTTCCCTCCCTCCCTCCCTTTTTTCTTTCTTTCTTTTTCTTTTTCTTCTTTCTTTCCCTTTCATTCTTCCTTCCTACCTTCCTTCTCTTTCCCTATCTCTCTTCTTCTGTCCCCCTTTCTTCCTTCCTTCATTCCTCCCTCCCTTTCTTTCTTTCTTCTTTATATGCCGCCCTGAGTCTTCGGAGAGGGGCAGCATATAAATTGAATTAATTAAATTAATTAAATTCTTTCCCTTTCTTTCATCTTTCCTTCCTTCCTTCCATCTCTTTCCCTCCCTCCCTCCTTTCTTCCTGCAACGGTCGGTTGTGTGAAAAACGGTCAGGAGTCACTTTTTTCAGTGCTGTTGTAACTTTGAACAGTCACTAAATGAATGGTTGTAAGTCAAGGACTACTTATACCTACGGTTCTAACAAACATCATTCCAAGCATTTGGGGTTGCAATCTTGTGTGCCCCTAAAGCAAAGGGAACTCGTAGGATTAAGTGTACAAGATCAGGCTGGATTCTAAGTCAGTCTCTTCTTTTATGTGGATGACAAAGATGAGCATTGAAAGATTTGGGGGTTACTATGTGTATATCTGGAAAGAGTGGCGTGGTGGCCAAGTGGTGAAGATGCTCGCCTCCCACTTGAAAAGTTGAGAGTTCAATCCTAAATAGTAGATATTTCTCTCCTAGGGCACAAGGAAGAAATATTTGCTGTGAACTCTATGTAAGGTGTCAGGAAGGGCATCTGGCTGGTAAATGCTCAATTCCATCCAGTCGTCCTGATTCTACCCCGAATTAAGGGATTACAGGGCCCTAAAAGGGGATATCTAGTAAGGACAACCCCAGATTGCATCAAGGACGATCAGCAGAGGTTCAAAACGGAAGGAATATGAATTACAACTTAAATGGCCCAAATCTCACAAGACAGATAAATTTACATGAGATTTAGGGCATGGATTTAATCTTAAGTATCTATGCCGATCCTTGAAAGATCCTTTTTATTTATTTATTTATTTATCAAAGGTCTTCCCATTTATTAAATAGAGGAAAAGAAAGTATTTAGAAGCAAGAAGCAAGGGAGTGGGGGAAAACTATTATTCCTTCTAATTCTTTTTTGATCTAGCCCTCTATTAATTTTTGCTGGGACGAAGCAACACATTTTGGAAAGAAATGCTAGATTGCATCCTTGGCAGACAACTGTCCCCTTGGTTTCCCGTGGCGGTTGTAGATTTACAGAACATCCCATTGTTTCGTGGCATTTCAAAGGTTAAACTTGTCGGCTGCGTTCACACAAACTTAATCTGGTTACTGAACTATGCTGTTTTCTGGATCCGCAGAATGCACTGAACCATAAACTCACCAGAGGCTGAGTTTGCACAACATACTGGATGAGAAAATGTGCAAATGTATTACCTGACGTAGCTGACAGGGCTGTTCAAATGTGGCAACGTTATTTTCTGGGTCACGTCTAATTCTTCCGAATTAGGCATCCTTCCTAAATCCTCCCTTTTTGAATTGATCTGTGGATGTTAGAACTTGTTTCCGAAATTGTGTGATTGTGATGTTTGGACTCTGCCCAGCTCCCAAATGTTTTAGCTCCCAAATATTGTCCACAGCCCCTCACGCTGAGGAGAAAACCTGACTCATTTTTCAGTCCTATCCCGTTTATCTGTGTCTTATACCCAGGGGTGGGATTCAGAAATTTTAGCAACCGGTTCTTTGCCCGGTTGCTGAGTGGGCGTGGCTATGGTGGGCGTGGCCTACTTGGCTTCCTTCACCATGGGGGGGGGATTTGCCCTCCCCAGACTCCGGAGGCTTTGTTGAGCCTCCGGGAGGGCGAAAATGGCCTCCCCTGGGCTACGGAGGCCTTCTGAAGGCCGGAAATGGGCCTGTTTTTGGACTTCCGGTACTTCCGATAGGCCCGTTTTCCGCCCTCCCAGAGCCTCCGTGTGGGCCCTGCACTTAACTGGCATCCAAAATCAGCTGTGTGGAGACTCCTCGGAGGGGTGAGGCGGGGTGGGCGGGATCAGCCAGTCCTTGCAACAACCGGTTCGCCGAACCAGATTAAAATTAACATCCGGTTCCAAACCGGCTGAATCCCACCCCTGCTTATACCTCAAAAAGTGACTAATGACCAGTCTTCAAACTTACAACTGTTGCTGCGTCGACCTGGTCACATGATCAAAATCAAGGCACCTGGCAATCGACCTGTGTTTACAATGGGTTGCAGGTCAGGTGATCCCCATTAGTATCCCTCACCACCTACTCCCATCAAGCAAAGTCAAATGGGGAAAACCAGATTCGCTTAACAACCGGAAGATTTGCTTAACAACCATGAGAAAAAAAGTTCATAAAAACCAGGCACAATTTACTTAACAACTGCCTTGCTTACCGATGGAAGTTCTGGTCTCAATTGCAGTCGTAAATCGAGGACTACCTGCATGCTAGCATGTTGATTAAAAACACCACAAGAAGGCAAAATAATTTTGATGCGACTATGTGTTGTCAGCCTTCACGCCTGATCTGTTATCAACGTGCAGGATTTTATGGTTGTGTATGAAGAATTTTAACGCAATCATGTAAATGATGGCAATAGCACTTAGACTTGTATATTGCTACATAGTGCTGTACAGCCCTCTCTAAGCGGTTTATAGTCAGCCTATTCTTATTTTACCGACCTTAGAAGGATGGAAGGTCGAGTCAACCTTGAGCTGGTCAGAATCGAACTGTCGAACTGCTGGCAGTCAGCAGAATTAGCCTGCAATACTGCATTCTAACCACTGTGCCACCATGGCACAGTGGTTAAGTGAAACTGATTTCTCCATTGATTTCGCTTGTCAGAAGGCCGCAAAAGGGGATCTCATGACCCCGGGACACTGCAACTGTCGTAAATATAGGGCAGTTGCCAAGCATCTGAATTTTGATCACATGACTGTGACGAACACTGCAAATTTGAAGTGTGAAGACCAATCGTTAAGTCACTTCTTTTCAGTGCTGTTGTAGCACTGAATGATGGATACGCAAGTGGTTGCAAGTCAAAAACTATCTGCATTTTATAACAGTCACAGAGTTGGGACCTTGGAGGTCATCTAGTCCAACCCCCTGCTCACGCAGGAAACCTATACTAGGGATTCGAACCGCCGACCTGCCGACCTTTCTGATCGACAAGCTCAGCGTCTAAGCCACTGAGCCACCTAGCCAGACTTTTAAGTCCTTGCCAGCCACAGAAGCTCCTTAGGGGACTTTGGGCCAGTTTCTCCTCCTTAGCCCAAGGGCCACATCAGGGTGGAAGTTGTAGGTGCCGGACTGGGTGCAGGGAGACCTAGATTCTAGTCCTCCTTCAGCTACAGAAGCTCCCTGGCTGACTTAGAGAACCAGTTACACCGAATGTATCTCAAAATACAATTTACAAGTGACCGCTTAGTTACAAGAGCACTGAAAAAAGTGACTTATGACCATTTCTTCACACTTATGACCATTGCAGCATCCCCATGGTCATATGCTCAAAAGTCGGATGTTTGGCAACTGACTCATATTTACGACCGTTGCAATGTCCCAGGGTCACGTGATGACCTTCTGACAAGCAAAGTCATTGGGGAAACCGGATTCACTTAACAACCATGTGACATACGAAGGATCCCCGACCTCCGCGCCTTCCATCGTGCTCTGAAGACTCTATTATTCCAGCAAGCCAGTCTGACAGGATAAAGGATTTTAACTGGGTTTTGATAGGGGTTTTAAACAACGATTTTAGCTGGGGGTTTTAAATTTGGCCAGTGATTGAATTATTTTAATAAGTTTTTAAATTTTTGTCTTGTATACTGTTTTTACCATGGCTGTTTACCACCCTGAATCCTTCGGGAGCAGGGCAGCATATAAATATAATAAAAGTAAAGTAAAGTAAAGTGACTAAGTACTGACTCACTTTACAATTGTGGCAAGAAAGGTCATAAAATGGGGCAAAACTCATTTAACCATTTTTTTCCCGCTGAGCAACAATATCCCAATTTTCCTCCTGGAGTTAAAAAGCTCACCCTCCGTCAATATTTCTCCAGAATGTAGCTACTCCATGATTTACGACCAAAGCTCCATTGTGGTTGTAAATCAAGGACTAGCTGTATTCTGGAGAAACATTGACGGAGGGTGAGCTTTTTAACTACTGGAGAAATATTGGGATATAAATGGAAGGAATGAATGTAACATCCTTGTAGCTTTTAAAATCTGCGTTGCAAGGGGCTTAATGGATTGTGGTTCCGTCACAGGCTTATAATGCATTCAACTATCAAAATAAATCCAATTAATCTGGAGAAGCAGGAACTATTTGGGAGATAATTAAAAATAAATAGCAAACATCGCCATCTAGTGGTAAGGGCTGAACTAGCCACCACCATCACACAAAATTGAGATAAAGGGTCTTCAAAATTCAATCTCGTTAGCGGTTACCAGATTAACCCATTTAAAGAATATACTGACTAAACGCAGCCCCAAAACCCATGAAGACTTAAAACCAGCAGAGTTTAGCATGCGGTATGAATGCTAAGTTTATTATTGACATGGTGAAGCATGTCGTAGGAATGCAACATGTAGGAATGTAGCCAGGAAGTCAAAAGACAGAAAGCAATTTCTCCAAAACAAACAGAAAAAAGAAAACCACAACACAAGAACTGAGAGACCAGAATTATTTGAAAGGCGTTTATTTTTATTTCCAACTGGAATGCAAACCTTTAAAAATGGTCTACCTCTCCATATGCAGATGCCACGTTCTCAATCGCTCGGGCACCAAAAACGTCCATTTTGCATTGGCTCTGACACTGCAAATCCATCCCTCAAGCTATTTATCAGAGAAGCATAAAAAGTGACACGTTTGGGATCTGCAGACATTTGCCGCCATCCACCAAAGTTCCCTAACGCACAAAACTGTCAGTGAAAAAGCAGGAAAATGAGCCTGAAAGATCTCTCAAAAGCGTCTTTGACCCTCTTGTCAAGAGGTCTGCGTGAATCCTTAGAAATGCTTTTTTTTTTTTAAATGGCAAGATTGCTTCTGATCATGAACAAAGTGCCGTGTCTAATTACAGGGGTTGGCAACCTCCTGGGGTCTGGCAAAGCCTTACATTGTAACTAGGGTCACAATGCGTGTAGTAAGGTTGAAAAAACAGGTACCGTGTTTCCCCAAAAATAAGACCTACCCGCAAAATAAGCCCTAGCCTGATTTTTAGCGTGCTCATAATATAAACCCTACCCCAAAAAGTAAGCTCTAGTTAAGGTCATCAGCGGAGGGTTGCGACCAGCACTGGAGGTGGTGAGAGCATGGGGGCCAATGGTGTCCGACAGCAGCCGCAGCCTGCACAATGCAGGTGAGTTGATTACCTGTCCAAGCACGATGCAGAGGCAAGGGAGAGGCATGCGATCCGGATGCGCCACACAGCATGTGGGAAAGCCAAGAGTCGGTAGGCTGGAGAGGCCGGGTGCCTGCCGGAAGCTCATCTTCGCATGACAGCAGATGAAGGCAGAGGTGCGGGGGAAAGGCAGTGCCGCGTGGGCTGCATGAAAGCCAAGTGATATGAAGACTAGCCTCCCGCGGCCACCTGCCCACTCCATCCCACCGTCTCTTGCCTTGCCTGCTCTGTTGCGACTGTGAACAAGCAGAAGAAGTGGGTCGGTGGCTATGTGGCATCCTGCTGGATGGAGCTGCCATCACGAGGCAGTTGTTGGGACTTGGATGGCCTGGTTGCGGGGCCCTGTGGTAAGTCGGTGTGGGGCGCATGGGGCACTCCACCTCCCCCTGCATTGTGGCGGTGACACTGGCACACCGCACAGCCTCCTGCCCCATTGCGGCCGCGAGCAAGCAGAAGAAGTGGGCCTCCTAAATATGGGGAAAAAAAGAAGACACCCCCTGAAAATAAGACCTACTGCTTATTTTGCAGCCCCCCCAAAATATAAAACCGGGTCTTATTTTCAGGGAAACACGGCAGGAGTTACCTGTGGACAGAGGAAGATTTGTTTGTACATAGGGATTTGAGAAGTTGTGCAGCTCTTTTTAAATTGATAAGATACTTCAACAGCTTAATTCTACTTCATATAGAGATAGTCCTCAACTTATGACCACATCCGAGACTAGAATTTCCATTGCTAAGCTAGGCAGTTGGTATAAGTGAGTCATACCCAACTTTATGGCCTTTTGTGCCACGGTCGTTAAGCAAATCACATCGAAGTGAACCATGCAATCGTGAAGGGAATTTGGCTTCCCTCACTGTCTTTGCTTGTTGGAAGCCGGGCCGGGAAGGTCACAAATGGTGATTATGAGACTTCAGGATTCTGCAACCATCATAAATGCATGCTAGTTGCTGGGCACTCAAATTTTGATCACATTTTTTTTTTTTTAATTTGATTTATATGCTGCCCTTCTCCGGAGACTCAGGGCGGCTTACAATGTGCTCAGCAATAGCCTTCATCCTTTTGTATATTTATACAAAGTCAGCTTATTGCCCCCACAAACTGGGTCCTCAATTTACCTACCTTAGAAAGGATGGAAGGCTGAGTCAACCTTGAGCCTGGGGAGATTCGAACTTGCAGTAATTGCAGGCAGCTGAATGTTAATAACAGGGTGCTTTAGACCACTGTACTACCAAGGCTCCTTCCCCATGACTGTGGGGAATGCTGCAATGGTTATAAGGGCAAGGACCCGTCATAAGTCACTTTTTTCAGTGTGTCGCTAAACAAATGGCTGCAAGTCGAGGACTACCTGTAAATGAATGGTTGTAAGTTGAGGACTTTCAAATCTGCTGCCAATAACCTGCTCTCTGTTCTACCAACTGATTTTTTTCTTTTCTGGGGAGGCTTTTCCTGCATGTACGATTCTGCAATCAGTCGTTTCCCTACTTTGGCCCTATTATGATCGATAGGTGAACGCAGGTGATTGGCATTCACTCCTTCCCTCTTGCCCGTACGCCTACATACAGCCACCTCCACTGAGCACATGCGTGAACAAGCCGAGCCTCCAGGTTACTTCTGCCACTCCTCTGCGGCAGACACCGGCAGGCGATGGGAGGGAACACTGGATTGCTTCGGTTCTTCTGACGGAGGCCGGGAAAGAAGGAACGAGTAATGATAGCCCTTGATATAATCTTCCTGAGAGGGGAGGTCCGTGGGGACATTGCAGAGGTTGGAACGCACAGATGTGGAGAGCTGGGGGACAGCCGAGGAACAGCTGGCTGTGGGGGAGGCCCGCTCCGACTTCACACTGATTTGGGTGTGCAAGGAGGGTGAGCTGGGGACTAGGGAAGCCTGGTCACAAATCCGACTTGCTGTTCTGTAAGGAAAGAAGAAATAGATTACCGTATTTTTCGGACTATAAGACGCACCGGAGTATAAGACACATCAAGATTTCGAAGAGGAAAACAAGAAAAAAAAAGTTTTTGCCCTCCCCAGCCCCCAGGAGCACTCTGCAGGCCTCCCAAACCCTATGCGAGTCCCATTTTTGCAAAGAACAGGCCCGTTTTTTGCAAAAATGGGATGCGCGGGGCAAGGTTTCAGGAGGCCAAAAATGGCTGCATTTGGTGTATAAAACTGTCAAGTATTTGCAAGCCATTGGCACATGTGTCATATAGACACCAATGGAGGCAGAGAGTGTCTCCACCCCTATGTAGAAAGGAGGGGCTTACCCTGAGTATAAAACCCCCTCCAACCTTTTCCACCTCGCTCTCTCCATCTCTCTCTTTTCATGTTTGTTCCTCATGAGACTTGATCTCTGTTGTACATAGTTAATATGATTTATCATATGAATAAATACGTTTAAGACATTTATTCATGCATCTGCCTCTGAACTCTTCTATGCTCCTGGGTGTTTCTACGATCCCAATTCCACAAAAATGCACCAACATTTCCACCCTCTTTTGGGGGGGAGGGAAGTGCGTCTTCTACTCCAAAAAGTATAGTATGTGTACAGGTAGCCCTCGATTTCCAACCACAATTGGGAGCAGAATTTCCATCGTAAGTCATCATATTTGAGTCAGATCCAATTTTATAACCATTTTTAAGACGGCGGTCAAGAGAATCGTCATGGTTGTTAAGCGAATTTGCAGTTGTTCAGTGAATGCCATGGTCTTAAGTATGAACCCATTCTTCCAAATGGACCCCATTTGCTGAAAGTTAGCAAAAAAGGTCACGAATCATGATCAGGACCCTGCAACTGGTCGCAAACACAAGCACCCAAATTGTGATCACATGATCATGGCGGTGCTGCTATGGTCATAAGTGCAAGAACTGGTCGCAAATGTGAGGACCAGATTTTTTTTCCCAGCAACGTTGTAATATTGAACGATCACTAAACAGATGGACGTAAGTCAACAATTACTTGTATAAAGTATAAAACTTCAGAGAAATCTGTTTATATTCTGAATTTTCCGGGAAAAGATGCACTTTTCTTTTAAAGCATGAGATGAATCAAGCTAGTCTAAGTGAATTAGCTCTTAAAAAATCCCCCACCCCTTCACACAAACCATTGTTCCTTTATTAATGTCAAGTCCTGGTGTTGACTAGCTTGCAAAAATCACTCTTTTCAGTTTTGTCCCAAAGGTGCTTTTTTTCAGGAGGCAGTTGGAGTTTCTTGATTTTTCTTTGAAGATGTTTCGCTTCTCATCCAAGAAGCTTCTTCAACTCTGACAGGATAGTTGTTCTGTCCCCAACCACACGCACACACACCAACAGATGTTCAAGAGTTAAAGACCAAACCAGCCGGCAAAATCCTTTTCCTTATGATAACAGAACTTGGCAACAACTTAGTGGCTGCCTGCCAAGAGTTTATTACTTACGAAGAGGAGAGATAATTTCTCCCCACTTCTGATACATCAAAAGAAACAGCTCAATAATTACAATCAAATCCAGAGATAATTCCAGCAAAGTCTATAGCAAAAGTCCGGCAACGCAGAATGGCGTGGAAGCTTTCAGCTTTGTTCGTCACAAGGTTTGACTGGCCACCACGCTCCCTTTTATATCCTGTGGGGTGTGGTCCAGTGACTCAGCCTAATCTTGGGCACGCCTTTTCTTCTGTTGCGCGCGTTTATCTCTGCGACGCTGGCGTGGATCCAGCCAAGACTCATTACCCTCATCACTGTCCATCTGTGGCTGCATGGACGTGCTTGGCCCCGGCCCTATCTCTTGCTCTTCGGCGGACACCGAAGGCATTGCCAGAGAGGAGGGTCCTGGAGAGGGAGGCTTTGCCAACTCCTCTCCTTCACTCTCGGAGTCCTCTTCTGCAGATGACACAGGCTCAGGTAACAGAGCCACAACAATAGTGGGGAATGGAAGGATTTATACTCCTTGCAGACAGCTGGTCATTTGCATCCTTTTAGAGGGTCATTGAAGTACTATGTCCTCAAGATCACCCGAATAGTGCTTGTGGTTTCTGTAGGTGACCCTGAGGACACAGATAAACCTCCAAGTGCTTCAAGGACACGCTAAAAGGATGCAAATGACCAGCTGTCTGCAAGGAGTATAAATCCTTCCATTCCCCACTATCCTGTCAGAGCTGAAGAAGCTTCTTGGATGAGAAGTGAAACGTCTTCAAAGAAAAACCAAAAAGTTCTGTTGCCTCCTGAAAAAGCACCTTTGGGACAACCATGACCTGGATGACTGAGAATCTCTACAGCCTTTTCAGTTTTGCATCACAATCGGATTCCAGCTTTTTGGGATGCAGGAATTGCTCATTGTGGATACTGAATGTGGCCACAAGATGGCAGCAAGATCTTGCTAATGATATCTGTCTTTGCATCCAATTGATTGGAGAAATAAATCATGGATGTTTTTTTTTAGAACTTCTCATGGCACACACAACAGCGCGTGCCTTTAGCCTCAGGAAGTGTCCAAGATTCTCCTCATCTAAACAGGAACACCTGGATTTCAGATTATCTACTAATCACAGTCTTGGAATTAGCCAGGCATTATAAGAGGAGGGTTGGATTAGAACACAGCACAAGTAGCAAACGCTTCAGAGCAATGGTGAAATTCAAATTTTTTTACTATCAGTTCTACGGGTGTAGTTCGGTGGCAGGGTGGATTTGATTTAAATCGAGTTGATTTAAATCATGATTTAAATCACTAGTAAAAAGACTTGATTTAAATCAACTCGATTTAAATCATAATTTTTAAAGAGCAACTGTCATCTCTGCTACTCCTTTGACCCGCTGTTGACTCACCGATAGTCCCAGTGTTGCAGAATATACAGCCTCATGCTACATAACTAAGCTCCATTTCACGCTGAATAAACTAAATTATTTATGTATCTTAAATAGAAAACTATCTTACGATAGATTTTTACCCCAATTCTCCAAACTACTCAAAATTCCCGCTACCGGTAATCCAGAACCTGTCAGAGTAGTTCAGAGAACCAGCAAATACCACCTCTGGCTGGCCCCAGATCAGGCGATCCGGTCCAAACCGGGAGCATTTCACCCCTGAGCCAAACCCAGGTTAAGAAACCAAACAGACTGACATGTCAGTTGAGCATGTTGTATGGAACATTAGGCACAAAAGGGTTTCCATGCAGTTGTTGGTCACTCTTTGCAACATGCCAATTCTTACCCCGGCATTGGATATTCTCGGTGATGCCAAGCCGCCGTGGTGTTTCCTTGGAAGCCGAAGGGGTGTGGGGTGCTTTCCCCCAAAGTATATTCTGAAAGTCAAACAATGGAAAAACAAGAAGACGAATTGTTGGCGCCAATATGCTGACTCTATAAAGGGCTGTAAAGCACTGTGAAAGCGGTATATAAATCTAAGTGCTGGTGCTACCAGGGTGAGGAAAATTTTCAAAGGACTTAGAAACTTAAGGAAACATAGGGGCCAAAGATCATTAGGCTTGGCCTTGGACATGATGAGAGGAGGTACTTTATCCACAACTAGAAACCCTGGGTGGACCATACCTGATGGGGTGGAGGAGAGGAAGGGGTATCCTGGTAGCCCACGTCCAGGGAGACTTCCAGCGGGCAATACGGGAGCCAGGTTCTGAAGCCCAGGATACAACGGGCGCTGTGGGGAAAGAAAATCAGGTTGAAATCACCTCCTGTAATGTTTCTCATCTACTAACCCATTGAATGTTCTTTTCAATAGTGCAGGGGTCTCCAACCTTGGCAACTTTACAACTTGTGGACTTCACTCCCAGAATTCCTCAGCATGTGCTGGCTGAGGAATTCTGGGAGTTGAAGTCCACAAGTTGTAAAGTTGCCAAGGTTGGAGACCTCTGCAATAAAGGACAGTATCTGCAGCACAGAGGTTGAACTGTGAAGTCGTTGGTGTCCCTAGCAACTGAATCTCCATGCCTGCAATCAAGCTCATCGGTGAGCAGCTTTATCTGCCTCCCTGCCTTCCTACCTGACTTGTACCTTCTATTGCAGGGGTCTCCAACCTTGGCAACTTTACAACTTGTGGACTTCAACTCCCAGAATTCCTCAGCATGTGCTGGCTGAGGAATTCTGGGAGTTGAAGTCCACAAGTTGTAAAGTTGCCAAGGTTGGAGACCTCTGCAATAAAGGACAGTATCTGCAGCACAGAGGTTGAACTGTGAAGTCGTTGGTGTCCCTTGAGTTTGGTTGTTTCCTTGCAGACGTTTCATTACCCAACTAGGTAACAGCATCAGTGTCAGGGAGAGTGAGGTTTGCTCCCTGTTTTATAGATATCAGTTTGCTTTGCCAGTTTTGGCAGGGATATGGCTTCCTTCGCACCCAATAAAATGGCCAATTTTGCTCAAAGTGTGTTCAATACACATTTGTGTATCGGTACAGGCTGCCTGTTGCAGCCTGTTGGCCGTCGGCCCCTCCAGAAGCCGAATCAGAGGAGGAGGAGTTATAGGAGTCAGGGTCAGCATCAAGGCAACCTGAGAGCTCCGAGAGGGAAAAGGGAATGGAGCTGGCAGAGAGAGAGAGAGAGAGAGAAAGAGAGAGAGAGAGAGAGAGAGAGAGAGAGAGAGAGAAAGAGAGAGGCGGAGCCTGGGCCGTCTGTTAGCCCTCAGATGGAGAATCAACACCCCCAGGACTGGAGGTGGCTGATGAGGAAGAGGCGGAACAGCTGGGTCCAGTGCCTGAGGCGCGGATGCATAGAAGGCAGAGGAGAGGACAGCAGTGGAAATCTATGGGCCGATCCTTGGGACGGAAGAGCCACCACTGCTAGCGAAGCCCCACCCTAGCTCTGGGGATAAAAGGCAGGGGGTGGATGATGAGAGTTTGGAAGAAGCACCGACTCAAATGGGATTATAAAATACCGCTATGGCTGGATCTTGGTCATACCTTGTGGAATACAAATATAATGTCACTCGGGGGGTTTTTATACAAAGAGGTTCTTTTTACAGATGCGGGCAGATGGCAGCTGAAGACATTGCAGACACTGTTGGACGAAGGGATTAATTTAACTTGGTTACAATATAATCAATTACAATTGAGATGGAAAGAGGACCAAAAAACTGGTATTATGTTGCACGAGGAAGAATTGGTTAGACATATAAAAGAGAAAGGTCCTATGCATATCAAAAGGCTTTATAATGTTTTGCTAGAAAGGGATTCAGAAACTGAATTAGTTAAAGATTGTATGATTAAGTGGGCACAAAATTTTGAAGAACCAGTGATGTTGGAAACATGGGAAAAAATTTGGGTTCAGAATGTTAAATTTACACAGTCGCAGAACCTGAGGGAAAATTTCTATAAAATGTTTTATAGATGGCATTTAGATCCCAAAAAGTTGTCATGTATGTACCCTAATGTTCAGCCAAAATGTTGGAGATGTGAATGTTTGGATGCTACGTATTATCATGTTTGGTGGACCTGTAGGAAAGTTAAGGCTTTTTGGATAAAAATTTGGTGGGTCATGCAGAATGTTTTGAAGAAAAAAATTCAATTCTCTCCACAATTGTTTTTATTGGGTATAGTTAAGGGTTTTACATCGGGTGAAACAAAATTGATATTGTATATGATAACAGCAGCAAGATTGTTGATAGGTAAATATTGGAAAAATGAAGCTTTGCCCACTATTGAGGAATGGACTTTGAAGATGGCCAGTTTTGCAGAGATGGCGAAGATTTCAGCATACTTAAAAGATTGTTCACAAGAGACTTATGAATGGGAATGGAAAAGGTGGATAGAATATGTTCAGAACAAATATCAAACTAGAAAGTATCAAATAGCTTTTATTTGAAAATAATGTATTGGAAATATTTTAATGTAAGGAGGTAAAGAGAAAAATTATACAGGGGAGGGAGGGGTTCAAGTTTATATATAAGTGTTATATTAAGGGTTTTTTATAGTATGAGTATATTATAGGGAAGTCTGGGGGGAGGGGAGGGTTAGGGAGGGTTAGGGAGGTTGGGAAGTTTGGGGGGGGAGGTGGGGGGGGGAAAAGGGGTGAAAATGTAATTGTAAAACTTTTGCAATAAAAAAAAAAAAAAGGCAGGGGGTGGAGAGGAATAGATGGGGCAGACAACTATTCATCTCCCTGCCGCACAGACTTGTTAGCCTGCATCGAGAGAGAAACTTTTTGCTGGGGCTGCCGGCACTCCTAATAAAGGAATCTTTGAGTTAACTTCAGAGGGTTTGTTGTGTTTTGGGAGCTGGGTCAGAACACCGTCCTTGACTTACGACTGTAATTGAGTCCAGAATTCCAGAATTACAATTCCAAGTTGTGGTGTTCATTAGGTGGGTCAGCACCAGGGATGAAATCCACCAGGTTCTGACAGGTTCTAGCGAACCGGTAGGGGAAATTTTGAGCAGTTCGGAGAACCGGCAAATACCACCTCTAGCTGGCCCCAGAGTGAGGAGGGAATGGAGATTTTGTAATATCCTTCCCCTGGAGTGGGGTGGGAATGGAGAGTTTGCAGTATCCTTCCCCTGCTACGCCCACCAAGCCACACCACGCCCACCAAGCCATGCCCACAGAACCAGTAGTAAAAAAATGTGGATTTCACCACTGGTCAGCACATAACCGTGTCTGATTTTATGACCCTTTTAGCAGTAGTTATTAAGCGAACATTAAGTGGTTGTTAAGCAAAGGCTGCTGTCTCTAAACAAATCCTTTATACCCAAGGGGTATTATTTTTGCCAGAAATGAGAAACCAGCAAAAAAAAAAAAGGGCAAAAATTGCATTTACATGACCACTGGACACTACAGTCAGTAATAAATACAAACCAGTTGCCAAGCACCAAAAAATGCAATCACAGGACTGCAGGTGTGTGTGTGGCTGCCAGAACTTCAAAAACAGGTCATAAGTAGTTGGGGTGGGGGGGGGGGGGGCACTATGATTTGGAATGCCTGCTAAGCAACCAGTTGTTCAACGAGGACTACCTCTAATGCAGAAGAGATATATCCTATATCCAGGATATATCCTAAGGGTGAAATCTAAAATTTTTCCCTACCGGTTCTGTGGGCATGGTGTGGCTTGGTGGGCATGGCAGGGGAAGGATACTGCAAAATCCCCATTCCCACCCCACTCTGGGGCCAGCCAGAGGTGGTATTTGCTGGTTCTCTGAACTACTCAAAATTTCCGCTACCGGTTCTCCAGAACCTGTCAGAACCTGCTGGATTTCACCCCTGGTATATCCTGTAAGAAAGGAAACGGGAATGATTGCCAAGCGTCCAAATTTTGATCACGTGGCCCTGGGGATGCTGCAACAGTCATGTGAAAAACGGTAATCGTAAGTCACTTCTTTCAGTGCCGTTGCAATTTCGAAAGGTCACTAAATGAATGGCTGTAAATCGAGGACGAAGACTTGTTTGGATCATCTGATTCTCATTGGCTCAAGGTTGACTCCAGCCTTCCATCCTTCCGAGGTCAGTCAAATGAGGACCCAGATTATTGGGGGCAATAGGCGGACTCTAAAACGCTTAGAGGGGGCTGTAAAAGCACTGTGAAGCGGTATATACCGTATTTTTCGGAGTATAAGACGCACCTTTTCCCCCCCAAAAAAAGAGGGTGAGAATCTGGGTGCGTCTTATATTCTGAATGCCCAGCTTCTCAAACGGAGGTTTCAGAGGCTGAAAAAAGAATCAGAAAGGAAGCTTCAGAAAAGAAGCCCCCAAACAGAGCTTCAGAGGCTTTTTTTCTGAAGCTCTGTTTCAGAGGCTTTCAGAAGCAGGAAAAAAAGTTTTTTCTGAGTTTCAGAAAACTTCTGAAACAGAGTTTCAGAGGCTGAAAAAAAACCAAGGCACAGAGCTCACAACCAAGGAACCTGTCACTAAAATTCACCTCTGGGAACAGCTGATTGGGGGTATTCCAGGAGGCAGATCCACCTGCCAATCAGCTTTTTTCTTATTTTTCCTTCCCCAAAACTAAGGTGCGTCTTATACTCTGAAAAATACGGTAATGTTGTGGCCCCGCCCTCTGAGCCTATCCCATCGGAGGAAGAAAGCTCCGAGCATGAGGAAGAGGAGTCAGCCAGGCCTCCCTCTCCAGGCCCCTCCCCTCTGGCACTGTCTCAGGTGCCGGCCGAGGGAGAGGAGATTAGCAGGGAGACAGGTGTCTCGGATGAGAGTGAAGGAGAGACATCATTCCTGGACGCATGCCTCCGAAGGCGTGATAAACGATTGTAGCAGCTCAGGAGGCATGCTAGGGATTAGAACTGAGTCACTGGACCACACCCCAGAGACTATATAATAGAGGGTGGTGGCCAGTGATCCCTGTGACGAACAAAAATAAACCTTGGATAGTCACTAAAGCCTCGTCCGAAACTGCTGAGAGGAATATTTATTTTTGTTGGACTCTTGTACGCTGAGTATATTATCTTTCTGTTTCTGTGGAAATAAAGCACTTGGCAGACGGTGTGTATATCGCTGCCAAGTTGGAGATAAAGACCTGGGTGTGTGCCAAGTGCTTCCTTAACCCTCGGCTGGCTGTGTTTGTGTGTGTGTGTGGACGGGGACAGATCAGGTAAGTCTAAGTGCTATTGCCATCTACCCCCCCAAAAGCAGAAGGATATTGTTGAGTTACTCACAGTGGATGCTAGATTGTTCCTGCTTGCAGAAAGCTGTCCTTCCACCCGACGGGAGTCAGACCCCAGGTAGAGCGGAGGAGGCGTTTTGCTCGACAACACCCGGCTGAGGTTGCTATGGGAGAAGATTGAGTACCCGATACCTGCAGAGTCAGAAAAGAGATAAAATTCAGGCTGGTGACAGCCCAGAAGACCCACAGCTCCTGATTACAGATTAACAGATTAACAGAGTTCGAAGGGACCTTGTAGGTCATCTAGTCCAACCCCCCCAAGCAGGAGACCCTACACCATTTCTGACAAATGGCACTCCAGTCTCTTCTTGAAAGCCTCCAGTGATGAAGCTCCCACAACTTCCGAAGGCAACTTCTGTTCCATTGGTTTATTGTTCTTACTGTCAGAAAATGTCTCCTTATTTCCAGGTTGAATCTCTCCTTGATTAGTTTTCATCCATTATTCCTTGTCTGGCCTTCGGGTGCTTTGGGAAATAGGTTGACCCCCTCCTCTCTGTGGCAGCCCCTCAAATATTGGAAGACTGCTATCATGTCTCCCTTGGTCCTTTCTCTTCATTAAACTAGACATACCCAGTTCCTGCAACCGTTCTTCATATGTTTTAGCCTTCAGTCCCCTCATCATCTTTGTTGCTCTTCTCTGCACTCTTTCTAGAGTCTCAACATCTGGTGGGCTACAGCCTGTGGCCCACCACCAAAGCCCCATTCCTAGATCCCCTGCCTTACCACGATACTGAAATGCAGTAGTATGGCTTGTCACTCAAGAGGGCAGGAAACCACCTTTTAAATAATTATTTAACATTCTGGGAGTTGAAATCCACAAGTCCTAAAATTGTCAAGATTGGACACCCCTGGGCAGTCCCAGTTCCTTTAGGTCATTCAGATTCATAGGATATAGGATTTATCCAGGGGTGGGCTTCGAAAATCTTAGCAAGGGCTTCTCTGCCCGGTTGCTGGGTAGGCATGGCCATGGTGGGCGTGGCTTAGTCGGCCTCCTGCACCATGGGGTGGGGGTGTTATCCTCCCCGGGCTCTGGAGGCTTTCCTTGAGCCTCCGAGAAGGTGAAAACAGCCTCCCCAAGCTCTGGAGGCCCTCTTTAGGCCGGAAACAGGCCTGTTTCTGGCCTTCCCGAACTTCCAGTAGGCCCGTTTTTCACCCTCCCTGAGCCTCCGCATGCACTCTGCACTTACCTACATCCAAAACAGGCCGTGTGGGGACTCCTGAGAGGGGTGGGGCAGGGTGGGCGGGGCCAGCCAGGAGTGGGATTTGGGGGTTCTCCGAACTGCTTAGAATCTTAACTAGAGGTTCTCCCAAACCCCTACGAACCCCCAGCAGCCCCACCCCTGGATTTATCTCTATTTTTGTTCTTTTTCTCTGCATGCTTTCCAGTTTCTCAGTGTCATTCTTACATTGTGGAGATGTGGACCTAGGATTCCAGCTGCAGTCTGACTAGTCAGAGGGAAGCTGTCACCTCCCATCATCTCAACATTATGCAGGTAGTCCTTGACTTACAACAGCTCATTTAGCGACCGTTCAAAGTTGCAACGGCACTGAAAAAAGTGACTTAGGACCATTTTTCACATTCATTCATTCATTCATTCATTCATTCATTCATTCATTCATTCATTTATTTATTTATTTATTTATTTATTTATTTATTTATTTATTTATCTATCTATCTATCATATTTCTATGCTGCCCACTCTCTGAGGACTCTGGGCAGCTTACAACAAAGACAGTATACTAAATAGCATATTGCTATCTGGGTCCTCATTTTACCCACCTCGGAAGGATGGAAGGCTGAGTCAACCTTGAGCCTGGTGAGATTTGATCTGCTGAACTAGCAGTCAGCTGAAGTAGCTGCAGTACAGCACTCTAACCACTGCGCCACCTCGGCTCTTACGACCTTTGCGGCATCTCCCATGGTCACGTGATCAAAATTCAGATGCTTGGCAAGTGGTTTGTATTTATGACCTTTGCTGTGTCCTGAGGTCATGTGATCCCCCTTTTGTGACCTTCTAACAAGCAAAGCCAATGGGGAAGCCAGGTTCACTTAACAACCAGGTTACTAACTTATCAATGGCAGGGATTCACTTAACAACGGTGGCAAGAAAGGTTGTACAATGGGGCGAAACTCACTTAACAAATGTCTCATTTAACAACAGAAATTTTGGGCTCAATTGTGGTTGTAAATCGAGGACTACCTGTACCTCTGTTGATGCAGCCCAAGCCATAAATTGAGAGCGACCTGTTGTCAGGCCTGGAAGCCATCTTTTTCGTTGGAGCTTCAGGCCTGCCACATTTCCTACTGTGGGAAACTGGGAGGGGGGATTGTATGGAGCCAGGGTGATATATAGTCATAATAACATTCCTTTCTCAGAGAGTCAAGGACATCTTGCCCTGCACCTGGAGGGATATGACTGGGAGGCATCTCCAGTTGGGACGGTGCTTTGATTGGACCATGTGCTGGTCATGTGGGTGTTGGGCAGGGACTTGGACTTTCCTTTGGATGGGGAAAACCTGGAAACTTTCAGATTCGGGTTTTGTGCCAATATGACATCTCTAATAAAATGAAACTTTGAGGAAGCTCAAGCCTTGGAGTTTTCTTTCATTGGGGGTGTTACTTGGAACCCTGACACCTGTACTTGGTCTTAGGCAGGGGTGGGTTCTAAAATTTTTTACTACCGGTTCTGTGGGCGTGGCTTATTTTGTGGGCGTGGCTTGATGGTCATGTGACAATTATTTAGGATTTAGCAGAGGTGCTGGTCTACCAGGCTTTTAACTGCTTGCAGAACTGTACCAATCTACCCAATTATTTTTGCAGGCACTGGTCTACCCATTTATTTTTGCAGGCACTGATCTACTCATGTATTTTTGCAGGCACTGATCTACTCATGTATTTTTGCAGGCACTGGTCTACTCATTTGTTTTCTTTTAACACTGATCAGCTGTAGGGCGGCCCTTTGAAGCCCCGCGACAAGAGTTTAAATAGTTTTTTTCCCTCTAGCCATCAGCTGGGACTCAGGAGGCAGCAATAGATTGGGGGTGGGGCCAAATAAAAGGTAAGAATAACGTGGGAGGGGTGCGGGGGGGGCAGAACCGGTTCGGTGACGTCATATCGTCACCGCTACCGACTCGGCCGAACCGGACTGAACCGGGAGGAACCCACCACTGGTCGTAGGTTGAGGATTACCTGTACTCGGAGAGGTGAAACCCAAAGATTTCCTACAGGCTCCTATGGGAATGACACAGGGGTGAAATCCAGCAGGTTCTGACAGGTTCTGGAGAACCGGTAGCGGAAATTTTGAGCAGTTCGGAGAACCAGCAAATACCACCTCTGGCTGGCTCCAGAGTGGGGTGGGAATGGAGATGTTCCAATATCCTTCGCCCAGGAGTGGGAAGGGAATGGGGAGTTTTGCAGTATCCTTCCCCTGGAGTGGGAAGGGAATGGAGATTTTGCAGTATTCTTCCCCTGCCACGCCCACCAAGCCACGCCCACAGAACCGATAGTAAAAAAAAAATTGGATTTCACCACTGGAATGTCATACCTGGTCCAAGGGTTGCTGGGGATCGCACCGAAGGGAAGGCTGGCTTGGGAAGAGTTGGCTTGAACTGCTGAAGACGGCTCTGTTGAACAGGAGATTCGCCTGAATTGCTTGCCCCACCTTCACCTCCGGATGGGGGAGTTCCCATGGATGCCCCCTCGAGGCTAGACAGGGAAGCGGCCGACTGCAAGGAAAAGAGAACATCAAAAATGATCATGAGGGAAAAAGTTGATTATTTGGGCTCTTTTGGGCTAGAATGGAATGAGCCTGTTTGCTGAGGACATCCTGGGAAGACCTGTTGAAAATCTCCTTCTATATCAGGGGTGTCAGCATTCCGAGTAACGCACCCATTGAAAGCACAACTCTGAGGCAGGTAGATTCCTGAAAGGATATGCTTATTGGATACATCATATCGGCACAGCCGGTGAAAACCAACTCTGACAGTTCCCGCAGTTTTCACCTAATTAAATAAATCAAACTCCCCCTTCCCAGGTGTCACCGGTCACATTGTCCAATGAAGATGGAAGGCAGGCTCCTCTCCTCTTTCAACGGCCACCTGTTTCAATGACCTTGGTTCCCACAAGAAAACATTTTGTTTCGACTGGAGCCGGGCTATCTACTTCCCTCCCCCCTTCCCCCTTTTTGGCTTCGTGACAACTATGAGGCAGCACAAGATGGCTTCAGCCAGTTTCGCTTCAGAGTTGACAAGGGGTGTCCAACCTTGGCAACTTTAAGAGTTGTGGACTTCAAGGCCCAGAATTCCACAGGCTTTTGTTGTTCGTAAAGTGAAGTATAGCACATTCAAAATTAAGCCTGTGTCAGAAACTTCGCTCCTGCGCTTTGCAATTGTTCAAGGCCAGTCAGCCATGGACCCTGGAGGAGGGTGGAAGGGAGAGTGGACGCTAGCGGGAAAGTGAAACTGATGGAAATAAACATGTCTTGTCACTTCCCGCCTGGACTATTGTAATGCTCTCTACATGGGGCTCCCCTTGAGGAGCACCCGGAGGCTCCAACTGGCGCAGAGTGCGGCCGTGTGGGTGGTAATGGGAGCAACATGGCGTTCCCATGTAACACCTCTCCTGCATGAGCTGCACTGGCTCCCGGTGGGCTTCGGGTGGGCTTCAAGGTTTTGGTTACCACCTTTAGAGAACTCCATGGCTTAGGATCTGGTTACCTACGGGACCGCCTACTACCACCAATAGCCTCCCACCGGCCGGTACGCTCTCATAGAGAGGGACTCCTCCGGGTGCCGTCAGCCAAACAATGTCGACTGGCGGCCCCTAGGGCGAGAGCCTTCTCTGTGGGGGCACCTACTGTCTGGAATGAGCTCCCCCCAGAGATACGGAGGATCCCGGATCTGCGCACCTTCCGCCACGCTTTGAAGAACTTTTTATTCCACCAGGCGGGCCTGGCCTAATCTTTTCCCTCTTTTCTTTGTAATATGCAAATTTTAATCTGTTTTTTAAATGACTGGGGTGTTTTAATTTGTCTGGGCCAAATTGTTTAATTTGATTTTATTCTGTTTTTAAATTTTGTATTTATGTATTTTACTGTTTGGCTGTTCAGCACACTGAGTCCTTTGGGAGTAGGGCGGTATACAAATCCAATAAAGATAAAGATAAAGATGCCTCAAGGCCGTTTCTCTGGGAGAAGAAAGAATGCAGCCGCAGGAGTGACTGCTTCAAAAACGTCTCTTTTAAAACTGATTGGACATTGGGGTGGGGAAGACAGGAATGGGAAGTGTTTGGAAGGGAAAAGTTATACCTAGGGATTTGGCCCATGAACCTCAGTTCTGGCTTTGCTTTACTGTATATCATTGACTTTTATCACTGCTAATATCACTGCTTTACTGTACTGTAATCCACTTGACCTTTAGTAAACGATACCTTTCTCAACAAATGGGAGTCAAGGATGGTTCTTACTTGAAGCTGCATGTTGAGGCAGGACTGGCAGCGTGGATAAACACAGGAAGCCCTCGAGTTACGACCACAATTGAGCCCAGCATTTATGTTGCTAAGTGAAACACTTGTTAAGTGAGTTTGCCCCATTTTACAACTCTTCTTCCCACAGTCGTTAAGCGAATGACTGCCGTTGTTAAGTTAGTAACATGGTTGTTAAGCGAATCTGGATTTCCCTATTGACTTTGCTCGTCAGAAGGTCGCAAAAGCGGATCACGTGACCCTCCCTGGGACACTGCAACCATCATAAATATGAACCACTTGCCAAACAATTGAATTTTGATCACGTGATCATGGGGATGCTGTGACGGTTGTGTGAAAAGTGTGAGAAATGGTCATTTTTCAGTGCCGATGTAAGTTTGAATGGTCACTAAATGAACTGTTGTAAATTGGGGACTACCTGTACTTTCAATCTGGACTCAATTCAATGTGTATTGGTCAATCCAAAGAGCTCACATGGAAAAACCTACAGGGATTTACGTATAAAATTCTCCTCATCTGTGCACGATATACATTTTTCATATGACTTGCAACTTTCTGGCAAGCAATTTCTCCCACAACAATGCGTTCTATCCTTTATGGCTACCAATATATGCATTTTAAAACATCAGTTCCATTTATACTTTGAAACTGGTGAGTCAGTTGCCACATTTAGAAAAATAAAAAGTGAGCACATTTCTTGGCCAGCCTATTGAAAGTCTGTTCCAATCTGGCTGGAAGCATTTTTTTATGACAATTCCGGAAGTTTTCCAAGCTGAGTTTGGAACCGTTCCAATCCAAAATGCTCAAAATAGTATCTGAATCCTTCTACTACTCAGTCAAAACAATCCTTTCTGGGAGATAAGGGCTTGGGCAGATATTTTGGGAACTAGGCAGTGGAAGAGGGTAGAGGTGGGAGAAATACCCAGATTGAACAGCCAAGAAGCAGATTCTGACAGAGATAGAGATCCAGGAGAGGAATTTGGGGGGCAAGTTAAAAAAAAAAAAAGCATAGCAATTAAAGTACTGAAGCGGGCAAGGGACGATGGATAGATGATTTTTCTTCTCTGTTGTTGTTTTGATTTGCTTTTCCTTTTCTCTCTCTTTATTTTATTTTCTTTTTTTTTTAGGTAGGTGACATGATTAGAAGCTAGGTAGGATAGAAAGAAAATGTTTTTTAGTAAAAGGTGATACGATTAAAAGTTGGAATAAGTGATAGAAATAAGAGAAGGGGGAATGTTAGTGTATACTTTTATATAATAAAACAAAAGTAACACTAAGAGAAAACATGGAATAATCGAATAATGACAGATTGCAACTTATTATAATTGTGTATCATTATTAGAAATATATATGTTGATTGAATCTAATAATTATGATTAATTTTACTAGTTTTATTTGTATTAGAATGTTGGACACCCGGGTGACAGACTGTTCATGCATTGATTTGATATGTTTGTAAAAAATAAAAAACTTTTTAAAAAAACACAATCCTTTCCAAATGTTTGACAGTAGTTTGCATTCAACCTATTTGGCCCACCTCTACTATATATTTTTAAAAAAGCATTTCGAATGCTTTAGGGGCAAATGAATGGAATATTCATAGCAAGACCTGTACAGGTATTTCTTAACTTACAACCATATTTGAGCCCAAAATTTCTGTTGCTAGTATAGCGAACTTTGCCCCATTTTACGACCGTTCCTGCCACAGTTGTTAACTGAATCACTGGAATTGTCAAGCCGGTTACACAGTCATTAAGTGAATCTGGCTTCCCCATTGACTTGGTTCGTCAGAAGGTCGCAAAAAGTGATCATATGACCTCGGGACACTGCAACCGTCATAAATATGGGTCAGTGGCAAACATCTGAATTTTGCTCATGTGACCATGGGGATGCTGCAACAGTCACAAGTGTGAAACACGGTCATAAGTCACTTTTTTCAATGCTGTTGTAACTTCAAACAATCATTAAATGAACTGTTGCAACTGGAGGCAGTTTTTTTCATCCAAAGCAATACTCACACTAAGTTTTGGCCGGACTAATCTAAGGTCCATGCCTTCATCAAGCTGCCTCAGTTTCTCAGCTGGGTCCAAAGCATCTACGAGATCCATTTCTGCACCTTCGAAGCCCAAACCTTTTCGTTTCAGGGTCTGCACAGATTTAAATACATTAATAATATATATATGTGAAATCAAACAAATATAATGCCATTAAATAAAGCCAATCTGAACTGCAATTGAGTTACGTGCCAAATTTGTGTTTGGCTTATACACTTAATCTTCGATTTATGACTGCAACTGAACCAGGAATTATAGTTGTAACTCGTAGTAGTCATTAAGTGGGTCACCATATGACCACACCTGATTTTATTATTTTTTATGCAGTGGTCATTAAGTAACTGTGGTTGTTGTTAAATAAATGTTGCTTATTTGTAACCTATGACTATCATTAAGTGTTGTATCTTATGATTCTTGACGAATGTATCTTTTCTTTTATGTACACTGAGAACATATGCACCAAAGACAAATTCCTTGTGTGTCCAATCACACTTGGCCAATAAAAATTCTATTCTATTCTGTTCTGTTCTGTTCTGTTCTGTTCTGTTCTGTTCTGTTCTGTCATTACCTGTATTCCCCAATAGATAGAAAGCCTTTTAAAGATTTACAACATTCATTTCAACAGAATAACAGAGTTGGAAGGAACCTTGGAGGTCTTCTACTCCAACCCCCTGCTTAGGCAGGAAATCCTATACCTGTGTTGGCAAACCTATGGCACACGTGCCACAGGTGGCACACGGAGCCATATTGGTGGGCACGCGAGAGTTGCCCTAGCTCAGCTCCAGCGTGCATGCGCACGCTGGCTAGCTGATTTCTGGGCCTTCTGTGCCCACCGGAAGTCGGCAAATGGGCTGTTTCTGGCCTCCAGAGGGCCTCCGGTGGGGTGGGGAAGGCTGTTTTCGCCCTCCCCAGGCTCCTAGAAAGCCTCTGGAGCCTGGGCAGGGCAAAAAACAGGCCTACTGTGCCCTCTGTGCAATCACATGCCAAAAGTGGGGGGAGCATGGGGGGGTTGTACGCGCATGCGTGGGGGAGGCAGGGCACATAGAATTATGGGTGTGGGCACGTGCGCACGCAACTATCCTGCACTCCCCCAGCTTTTGGCATGTGATGGCAAAAAGGTTAGCCATCACTGTCCTATCCCCTTTCAGACAAATGGCTGCCCAATCTATGTCATTGGTTTTGGTGGGAGTAGTTTTGGAGCGGTCTGTCACATACACTGACAGGGCAAGCCACTAGAATATAAACTGAGAGCAAACCCCACTCCTTACTAGCATTGATGCTGTTACCTAGTTTGGGCAATGAAACGTCTGCCAGAAAATAACCAAGCTCAGAGATCACTCTCTTTTCAATCCTGAGCTACAAAGATTCTACTTTAATGGTCATTAAGCGAGGAGCATCTATTACAGTGGCTTCAACATGTCTGTGTTTCTAACACAGAGGAGCTAAATGGTAGGGCAAATTATACACGAACACACATGTATAGTTAATGCATGCAGACCTTAATGCATGAAATTCATTATTTTAAAAAAAGATGGATTTGATATTCAACGAAGAACAGTGGTGAAATCTAAAATTTGTTACTACCGGTTCTGTGGGCATGGCTTGGTGGTGGTGGGGTAATGTGACTGGGTGGGCGTGGCCTTTTTTTTTTTTACTTTTAAAACCATTTTTTTCTACAGCCTCTTCGGCGAAGTGGTTGTAAGGCTTTCAAAAGGCTCTGACGATCCCAGCTGAGTTGCCTGATCAGCAGAGACTTTTTTTCTTTTAAATGCTTCTAACGATCAGGCAACTCAGCTTGGATCGTCAGAGGCATTTAAAAGAAAAAAAGGGTTTTTTTCTTTTAAAAGCCTTTGAGGATCCCAGCTGAGCAGCGCGATCATCAGAGGCTTTTTTTTTTTTTACTTTTAAAAGCATTTTTTCGGCCGAAGAGGTTGTAGAAAAAATGCTTCTAAAAGTAAAAAAAAAGCCTCTGATGATTGTGCGGCTCAGCTGAGAAGGGGTGAGGATTTTTGCTACCAGTTCTCCAAACCACCCGCCTCCATCGCTACTGGATTGGGCAATCCGGTCCAAACCGGGAGCATTTCACCCCTGACGAAGAGAATATTTTTAGCTCAAGATTGGACTGTGGGGCTGTTGACAATCTCTAAGGTTGGTTGTTGCCACTTATTTGTCAGTGATGACAGGAATAGCAGTAGCACTTAGACTTATATACCGCTTCACAGTGCTTTACCGCTCTCTCTAAGTGGTTTACAGAGTCAGCCTATTGCCCCCAACAATCTGGGTCCTCATTTTACCCACCTTGGAAGGATGGAAGGCTGAGCCAACCATGAGCCTGGTGAGGATTGAACTGCTGGCAGTGAGCAGAGTCAGCCTGCAATACTAGCTTTCTAACCATTGCGCCACCACAGCTCTTACTGGTGTTACCTGGTGGGGTTAATGACTCCCTACTAGCACTGATACCTTGTTTGGGTAATGAAATGTCTACAAAAAAATAACTAAGATTAGAGAGCACCAAGAACCCCACAGATGGTTTCTGATGTCCCAAAATCCAACGAGCACTTTGAGGAAGCTGAATTTCAGGAGTTTGTAGAGCTTCTCAGTCATCCAGGTCATGGTTGTCCCAAATGTGCTTTTTTTCAAGAGGCAACTGGACTTTCTTGTTTTTTCTTTTGAAGACGTTTCGCTTTACATCCAAGAAGTTTCTTCAGCTCTGACAGGATAGTGGGGAATGGAAGGATTTATATTCCTTGCAGACAGGATACAAATCAGGGGTGAAATCTACTTACCTTCCCTACTGGTTCGGAAGTGCACGCGCGCGTGGGAAACCCTCTGCGCCAGGGGTGGGTTCTACTTACCTTTACTACCGGTTCGCATCGGGAGCGCATGCGCAGATCACCTATGATGGCGTCTGGGTCGGTGAGTGGAGCCTCCTGCCGGTTTTACTACCGGTTCTTGAGAACCAGTCCGAACCGGGGGCAACCCACCATGCTCAAACCCTTCTGTGCATGTGCAGAGGGTAAAAAACAGGTTACTTCCTCCTTAAAACCAGGAAGTAACGACGACCGAGCGGGTGGGCGAAGCCTCACGCTGCCATTGCTACTGGTTCTCTGAACTACCTGCCGTCATCATTACCGGTTCCGCCGAACCGGTCTGAACCAGTAACATTTCACCCCTGATACAAATCCTTCCATTCCTGTCAGAGCTGAAGAAGCTTCTTGGATGAGAAACGAAACGTCTTCAAAAGAAAAAAGCAAGAAAGTCCAGTTGCCTCCTGCAAAAAGCATCTTTGGGAGTGAATTTCAAGAGCCCTCCCATGTTTTACCTCCAGAATATCCGAGTTGGTTCGGCTCTCGTGGGGCTCGCTGTACTCCGTGTACTTCAGCAGAACCTTGTCCATGTCTGTGCTGGCATACTGGAAGAGCCTGTTGGTGCTGTTGAAAATGATCAGGGCGATTTCACAGTCACAAAGGACGCTCAACTCATAGGCCTTTTTCATCAACCCGAATTTTCTCTTGGTGAAAGTGACCTAAAAACGGCAGGAGAAACAAAATACAGGAAGTCCTCGACTTGCAACCACAACTGAGCCCCAAATTTCTGTCGCTGAGCGAGACGCTTGTTAAGTGAAGTTGGCCGCCTTTTACGACCCTTCTTGCCACGGCTGTTAAGTGAATCATTGCAGCTCTTAAGTTAGTAATACAATTGCTGAGTGAATGTGGCTTTCCCATTGACTTTGCTGATTTGAAGGTCGCAAAAGGGGAATCGCATGAGCCCCGGGACGCTGCAACCGTCATAAATATGAGTCAGTTGCCAAATGTCTGAACTTTGATCACATGACCATGGGGATGCTACAATGGTCGTAACGGTGAAAAACAGACGTAACCGTCACTTTTTTTCAGTGCCCTTGGTAACTTTGAACAGTCACTAAATGAACTGTTGTAAGTCAAGGACTACCTGTAAGAAGAAGGGCAGATTTGGCCAAATTGCCACTGGGGCCAGGAACTACAGAATCATCTGGCACTCAGTTTCTGTCAACTCAAAGGCTCTAGTCCAGAGGTGTCAAACTCAAGGCCTGGGGGCCGAATCTGGCCCGTGAGGTGCTTAGATCTGGGCCCATGGGGCCACCCTGGAAACGGCAAAGGACCGGCCCACGGTGCCTCTGCGGGTGAAAACAGAGCTCAGAGGGTTGCAGGATGCCATCACAGCCAAAAACTGAGCCATGCCCCCCCTGCCCACGTCCCCTGCCCCCCCCCGGAGGTCAAACACAACCCTGATACAGCCCTCAATGAAATCGAGTTTGACACCCCTTACTCTACTTCCTCCTTAAGGCCTCCGTAATGTCATTCAGGTCCTTCTTTTTCCTGCTCTTCCTTTGCTTCAGACAGTTTTGGGCCTGCATTCCTCAGCCGTGGAGCTAAGGCAGGCCGCTGATGGCTGTTGACATAACTGTCATCTCTGCCCCTGAGAAACTCTGGTTCTCGAGTTAACTCCCGAGGACAAAATGAGAACTGAAAAGGGTGTAGATTGAGATATGTCTCATTTTATCCCCAAACAATCCTGTGAGAAAGCTGGACTAAGAAAAAAAGTATTACCCAAAGTCACTTAATGTTTGTGGTTAAGTGGGTGGCATGCAACAAGTATAATGAGTCAGCAATTTTTAAAATCTTTTCCTTTCTGATAAAGCTCTTTATCTTCTTCTTTATCTTTCCTCTCTTCCCTTTTTCCTTTTCCCCTTTCCTTTTTTCCCTTCCTTTCTTTTCCTCCCTCCCTCCCTTTCCTTTCCTTCTCTTTTCCTCCTTCCTTCCTCTCCCCCTTCCTTCCCCTCTATTCCTCCTTCCTTCCTCTCTCCTTCCTTCCCCTTTTCCCTCCCTCTTTCTCTTCCTTCATCCCCCTTCTTTCCTTCTTTCCATTCATCTCTCCCTCCCTCCCTCCCTCCTTTTTCTTTCTTTCCTTCTTTTTCCTTTCTTTTTCTTCTTTCTTTCCCTTTCATTCTTCCTTCCTTCCCTCCCTCCCTCCCCTTCCTTCCTCCCTTTCCTTTCTTCCTCCTTTTCCCTTCCCCTTCTTTAAGATGGTCCTCCTCTGACAGCCACTTGACTTTTTCAATGGCTATTTCAATTTAAAAAGTCTCCCCAAGTTGGCTACAGATGATGGTCAGAGGGCCATCTGATTGCTAGTCCCCTTCTGCTTAGGAGGCACTTACTTGCCGGTTCCGTTGGTCCAAGATTCGGCTAATCTGTATCTTTTTTCGGCCCATTGCAGTCCGGGTGGGTGGGTGGGGGGGTGAAAGAGCTTCCCTAAGATGGAAAAAAAAAGGGGGGAGTTATTTGTGTATTCAGGAGTTTTTACAAGGGCAAAAAACAGATTTGAAGTCAGAGTTGAATCTAGTTCCAAATCAGCTTCATCATCACGGCTCCTACTCTGTGAATCTGGAGATTTTTCACATTTTCTGGAAGTCCAAGGGATATTTTTAGCTGTTGCATGAACTGCTGATCCTAAAGGAGGGAGAAAGGAGTCACGTAGCCACGAAGTCCATTTCAAATCACTTTAAAACCATGATTGCAAAATTAGTCTGTAACCTGGGATTACTCCAACTCTGGAGGCACCAGACCAATAAGTCTTCTCATTCTGACCTGCTGCTCACAAACAAGCCTCAAAATCAGCAACAGTCAGTTTTTCCATTCCTCTGCCATCAATAAAACATGATTTCAATGGGCTGCATTAAAATAAGCGAGTACATAAAGAAACTTTTAAAAAAGGACTGCCTTAGGAAGCTGGCAACTAGCAGTGACGATTGCACTGTCCCAGGCTCATGTAACCTTCCCAGCCGGCTACTGACAAGTAAAGTCAATGGCGGAAGCCAGATTCGCTTAACAACCACAACAACTCACTTACCGACTGCAATGATTCACTTAACAACGGTGGCAAACAAGGTCGTGAAATGGGGCGAAACTCACTTAACTGTCTTGTTTAGCAACGGAAATTTTGGGCTCAATTGTGGTCATAAATTGAGGACTACCTGTATACAGTGGTGGGATTCAGCCGGTTCGCACCACTTCGGGAGAATCGGTTGTTAAGTTTCTGAACAGTTTGGCAAATTGGTTGTTGGCAGAAATCATTAGGGCAGAGAACTGATTGTTAAATTACTTGAATCCCACCACTGCCTATATACTATAACTATTACTATGCAGGTAGTCCTTGACTTACAACAGTTTGTTTAGTGACCATTCGAAGTTACAACAGCACTGAAAAAAGTGACATACTGTATGTCCGTTTTTCACAGTTTGCAGCACCCCTCACGATCACGTGATCAAAATTTGGATGCTTGGCAACTGGTATCTATTTATGACTGTCTCCCAAGGTCCTGTGATCCCTTCTTATGACTTTCTGACAAGCAAAGTCCATAGCGAAGCCAGATTCACATAACAACCAGCTTAGTAAATTATCAACGGCAGTTGATTCACTTAACAACTGAGGCAAGAAAGGTCGTGAAACGGAACAAACCCCATTTAACAAATGTATCCGTTTACAACAGGTATCTTGGGCTCAATTGCGGCCGTAAGTCGAGGACTGCCTGCATTACACTTTCAGCCTCTGAGAATCCAGCCCTTAACGGCACAACCACGGAGAATCCGAAATCAGCTCTTGTCGCTTTCAAGGACTTTTCCATTCACGTTGGTGAATTCCAAGCGCTGGTGTATTTTCATTTCCCTGCCCTGCTGTTTTGCTCTCTTATCTTCTGCCTCTTAAGCATCTCAGATTATATTTAGCTGATCAGAACTAATTTTAAAGAGATGGAAGGAAACGGTGACCAACTTCCCATGACCCCAATGTGGAGGGTTCAATGTGTCATCACCCACGCAGGGCACCAAAAGGTGCATTCAAGAGAGACGGTTGTCCGAGGACCGTGATGGGAAGGGGAAATTGAAAAAAAAAATTCCCATGGGGAAGCCCCTTCCCCCCCCAGCCTGTTCCCAGACAGAAAACATTTAATTTGCAAAAGGCAACCATCTCAGTTGTTTAGAAGCAGTCACAGTGATTTACCAACAGGGCACCGCTTGGAAACTGAGGCAGACTGGCAACAAGGACCAACAATTTCATGCTGGAATAGTTTTCCGCTGCCTCAGAGACGGAAAATGCTGCAGATGTGTTTGTGTCTTTTTTTTTAAATGCACTTTCCCCCCCCAATGTCTTGCTTATTTTTTTGTTTTAGTAAAAAAAACACCTCTTTTTTCTTTTTGGAGTTTTGTATTTTAACTTTTTGAATAAATATAAAAAGTTGACAGCAAAAATGAACTACAGGGAGTCCTCGGCTTACAACATTTTGTTTAGTGACCGTTCGAAGTTACAATGGCACTGAAAAAAGTGATTTACGACCGTTTTCCATACTTAGAACCGTTGTAGCATCCCCATGATCATGTGATCAAAATTCGGATCCAATGGGTTCAGATTTATGATGGTTGCAATGTCCCGGGGTCATGTGATCCCCTTTTATAATCTTCTGACAAGAGAAATCAATGGGGTAACTGGATTCACTTAACAACCGTGTCACTTAACAACTGTGTTACTAATTGAACAACTGTGATGATTCACTTAACGATGGCAAGAAAGGTCGTAAAACAGGGCAAAACTCACTTAACAAATGTCCCGCTTAACACAAATTTTGGGCTCAATTGTGGTCATAAGTCGAGGACTACCTGTATTTGTTACATTTAGCTTTAGCTAAAGTAATGAGTTGTTATGATATCCAGACTGGAAAAAAAAAACAACTGAAAAAAGATGGAAAACATTTCACCTCAATATTAGGAAAAGGCATTTGTTTGTTTTTTATCTTTCTGGCATAAGGAAATCAAAATAGACTTGGCATCTCTCTAATTGCTTTAAACCAGTGGCCTCCAACCTAGGGGTGGGCTGCTGGGGGTTACCTCTAGCTAAGATTCTGTACAGTTCAGAGAACCCCCAAATCCCACTCCTGGCTGGCCCCACCCACCCCACCTTGCCCCTCCCAGGAGTCCCCACACGGCCCGTTTTGGATGCAGATAAGTGCAGGGCGCGCACAGAGGCTCAGGGAGGGTGAAAAACGGGCCTACCGGAAGTTCGGGAAGGCCGGAAACAGTCCCGTTTTCAGCCTCCAAAGGGCCTCTGGAGCCTGGGGAGGCCATTTTCGTCCTCCCGGAGGCTCAAGAAAAGCCTCCGGAGCCCGGGGAGGGCAAAAACACACACCCCGCTGTGGTGCAGGAAGCCAACTAGGCCACGCCCACCATGGCCACGCCCACCCAGCAACCGGGCAGAGAACCCCTTGCTAACATTTTTGAAGCCCACCCCTGAATCTACCTACACACTGCAGCTTCCGTAAAAGGAGGAAGAGAAGGAGTCTCAGCTGTTCTAATGCTTTTAAAGCAGGGCTGTCTGAAAACAGAGGGGGCTCCATCAAAATATTTACAAAGGCCGAGGAATAAGCCAATCAATCGAAGGTATCAAAAAGGTGAACTTAACGTTTGCCACTGCTTAGAAAGCAATAGTGAGAATAAAGCTTTAGCTCCATTCTACCCCCAGGAAGACAATACCGGGTAGAGACCTGATTGGTTGGCAAATCTTATGTAAAAAAATCCAGAGGTTTCATCAGCCACGTCTTCCCTAGAAAGCTCATTAAGGGAAACCGGAAAGCAGCACTGATTTCTCATCTGCCAAGGGCTAATTATGGAATAAAAATTAATATTATAGATTTTAATGGACCCAGCTCCAAACAGGGAGCATGCTGTATTTTCTCAGCTACAGAATTCGGCTTTGAAATAATTTTTATAATACCCTGTTCCCCAAAAATAAGACCTCCCCCTAAGCCTAATTGGGCTTTTGAATTGGGCTTTTGAAGGCCAAGCGCTTATTTCAGGGTTCAAAAAAATGTAAGACAGGGTCTATATTTTCAGGGAAACACGGCAGGTATGAAACTATTAGGTTTCTCATCTTTCTGACGCTGAGAGAGAGCTGCGCAATCTGAATCAAGAATGGCTTTTGGAAAGTTGATCTTTCTCCAAATTTTTGACTCCATTTTGGAACTGGAGGTTCTTATCCTTTGGTGAGGCTGATTTTGTATGGTGAGATCCTCAATATTCCTATTAAAATCATTCATGCTTGTATCTCAATATCCTGTGTGTATCAATACATCGCATACCCCTCCTTGTTGATATAATATAAACAGCATCAGTACAGGTAATCCTTGAGTTGCGACCACAGTGGAGCCCAAAATTTCTGTTGTTAAGTGAGTCTTGTCCCGTTTTATGACTTTTCTCCCCACAGCTGTTAAATGAATCACTGCAGTTAATAAATTAGTAGCCTGGTTGTGAAGTGAATCTGGTTTCCGCATTCACTTTGCTTGTCAGGCGGTTGCAAAAGGAGATCTCATGACCCCGGGACACTGCAACCGTCATAGGTATGAGCCAGCTGCCAAGCATCTGAATTTTCATCACATGACCATGGGCAGGCTGCAAAGGTCGTAACTATGAAAAATGGCCATATGTCACATTTTTCAGTGCAGTTGTAACTTTGAACGGTCACTAACTGAACTGTTATAAGTCGAGGACTTCCTGTAAAGGGAGTCCTTGCTTTACAACAACAGTCGAGACCAAAATCTCTCTTGCTAAGCAAGGTGGTTAAGCGAGCCACGCCCGATTTTATGACCTTGTTGCCACAGTTATTAAGTGAATCACTACAGTTGTTAAATGAATTATGTAGTCAATAAACTAATACAGCCTCCCCCAATCACTTTGCTTGGTGGAAGCCAGTTGGGAAGATTGGAAATGGCAATCACATAATCCCGGGTTATGTGCAGCTGTCATAAATTCATGCCTGTTGCCAACATACAATAGCAATAGCAATAGCACTTAGACTTATATACTGCTTCACAATGCTTTTATAGCCCTCTTAAGTGGTTTATAGAGTCAGCCTATTGCCCCCAACAATCTGGGTCCTCATTTTACCCACCTCGGAAGGATGGAAGGCTGAGTCAAACTTGAGCCTGGTGAGATTCAAACTGCCAAGTTGCAGGCAGCCGGCAGTCAGCAGAAATAGCCTGCAGTACTGCGCTCTAACCACTGCGCCAACGTGGCTCTGATCAAGTGCTTTTGCACGAGATACACTGCATTAATAAACACTGCAGAGAAAAATAATTTTGATCACGTGACTGTGGGGATTCTGCGACAGTCGTTAAGTGTGAGGAATGGTGGTAAGTCACTTTTTTCGATGCTGTTTTAACTTTGAATCAACTCTAAATGCTTGGTCGTAAGTCAAGGACTACCTG